CCTGCTGCCCTCCCCTGATGTATTTATAGGCAGCCACAAGATCACCTCTCAGCCTTCTGTTGCAAAGGCTGAAGAGAACTAGGTCCCCCAGTCTCTCCTCGTAGGGCCTTGCCTGCAGGCCTCTGACCATATGAGGGGCCTCCTCTGGACCCTCTCAAGGCTATCCACATCCCTCTTGAAGTGCGGTGCCCAAAACTGGACACAGTACTCCAACTGCGGTCTGACCAGCGTCACATACAGGGGAAGGATCACCTCCCTGGACCTGTTTGTTATGCATCTGCTAATGGATGATAAAGTGATAAAGTTGTTGATCACTTTGTCTCACTGACGACTCATGTTCATCTTGAAGTCAACTATAACTCCAAGATCCCTTTCCACTACCGTGCTGCTGAGAACGTCATCCCCCAGCGTGTAAGTGCGTCAGTGGTTCTTTTTGCCCAAGTACAGCACTTTGCGCTTGTCTTTGTTGGACTGCATCCTATTTATTTCTGCCCATTTTTCCAACCTGACCAGATCCACCTGGATCCATTCCCTATCCTCTGGTGTGTTAAATTTGCCCCATAATTTGGAATCATCTGCAAATTTGGACAGGGTGCTCTCCATGCCCTCCTCCAAGTCACTGATGAAGACATGGAATAGCATTGGTCCAAGGACCAAGCCTTGCAGGACTTCACTGCCTACGTCGTTGCAGGTCGATACCGACCCATCTACCACCATTCTCTGGGTGTGACCCCCTAAGCCAGTTTGCCACCCACCTGACCATGTAATCATCTACAGCACAGCTTAGCAATTTATTTATGAGAACATGTTCATTCTCATCCTCTACATACACATTCAGGGCAGATACTTACCTGGGGTAAGTGAAGGTAGCTTTGTTAACTTCAGTTGATTTCACTGGAGTTTGCTGATAGGCAGCACCTGAGGACCTGATAATCTCTTCTGTAAGGGTGCACACAGGAAGATAAAGTTAACATGTGAAGTAGAAGGACTATCTTTTTTATTCACTACCTCTGCTACTCCACCCATTCTCTTTCCTATTGCTAGTTCATAAATCAGAACTAAGGTATCATTTCTCCTGTCTCATACCTATCTTTTTTTTTCCTGATATTTGGGCATGAGAAAACCAAACCTTACCTGTCATAAAAGCATTTCCAGGTGCCAGTATTTGCATGCAGCCCACTTATTTATCCTACAATGCACTGAGGGCAAGGATTCAGGCAATTACTAACAAACATAGTACCAGAAAAATGTTCAGCCAGAAAATTGCTTAATTGCTTGAACATTTTAATCTCTCCCTGAGAAGAGGTTAGCTGGGAACAGTGGACTAGGCCCAGAAATACCGGTAGGGAAAGTCCTTTTTTAAAAAAGGCTCAGGATTTCAGGGGTTTCTAATTATAATTTAACAATCATATAACCTCTAAATGTTTTGCCCAACACAATCCGTAATATAATGGGGTCCCGGTCTTGACTGAAGTGCTTCTTGTGTCCACAGTTACCAATTTTGCTCATGTGAAGAGATGACTTTTGGATTTTGTAGAAGCACTTGGTGTAGGTTCCTGTTTCCTTGCTATCTCCAGTGCACCTCCTCTTTCCACAGAAGCATTTCTCGGGGTTTTTTCAGGCAGGGGCTGCAGTTTAGTACTTGGAGGAAGTCACAGTTACATAATTTCCTGAGGCAACTGCAACCATTTCTTATTTGGAAAAGCAGCATTAGAAAAGCAGGTAGACTAGGAATTTTTAGCTCTGATTTTAAAGCAGTTTAGCAACTGAGTATAAGGAGAAACTAGCACCATGTATTCAGTTTATTTGAGCCATCTGCAGGTTCTCCATGGATAGTGATCCTGAACTGTACTTTGGTAATCTGTTGACACTATAATTTCATTGTTGTCTTGATCCTTTCTTTTTTGATCCTTTCTTAGCTCCAGCATAACTAAAGGGATACCTATAGCTCCATCATGAGCACTGTGGTTGACAGTAGTGCTCCTTAGGTGCAGCCAAACTTTCTGGTAAAAAAGCATAAGTTGTTTGGATAGGAGACAAAGCTTTCATAGGGGCCAGACCCATTTTATGGACTGCATTTGTACAAGAGCCAAGGATGGTCACAAAATCTGCTCACCTGTTGCTCCATGTGCATTCTAGGATGAGAGGAAAAGTCATGTGACATATGTTCGGCATGTTATTTATAATGCACTGCTAGACGGTATGGTGATGAAGGCAGTAGAAGAGCCTGGATACGTTGGAATGCAGTATGAATAGAATATATATTTTAGATACATTTGAAGTTGGGTTTTACTTCTGTCCTTTTACCTGTAGCATTGCAGAGCAGTGATTCTCAACCAGGTGATGTGGCACCCTAAAGCCTCCTGAGATCCTTGTAAGGGTGGCCACCGAGTGCCCATACAATGTTTGTACTGTTAGGTGTGCAAACATGATTCACAAAATAAACCTGATGATTTCAAGTAGGAAACTATAATATCCAAAACATTATGACCTATTTAGTTTTTATGAGCCCTTTGCCACAGAAGAATTGCTTATTATTGTTCTGTCAGCAACAAACCCATAGAGCTGGTAATTTCTGAGGGGGTGCGCCAAGTATAACAAGAGGGACTTTGAGTCTACAAAGATTGAGACGCACCACTGTAGGACATCCTAAATGAATTCTGTACAGTAGACAGGTACAGAGATTTTATAGAATCTCTCATTGAGTCATACCACCTATCCATAGTCATTAATAGTGCATATATGTAAAGGCAATGATTTTTGGTTCTAACGTGTCATATCAAACATATCTCAAGATATATTAATAATCAACAGTCCTGCTGATTTGCAGAGTTTGTATAAACATTAACTAATTCATCCTCATAGTTTGCATTCATTAATTCATCTTTTCAGATCAGAAAACTAGGACAGAGAAGTCAAGGGACTCAACCAAGGCCTCAGATGGGATTAGTGTCAGAAGTAAGCATAAATATAGAAGTTCCTGGTCCCTTCGTTCAGACGAACCGTTTCCTTACCATACAGTGGAGTAGGGGAAAAGAAGAATAGAGATTATTTTTTAAAGTCATGTTTCATATAGCTTCAGTGAGAGGGCTTTGAGTTCTTTCTTTTGTAGACACCAGAAAGGTTTCACGAGAGTTCATACAAACTCTTTCTGCAGCTTAAAAAATGTCCAAGTTAGCTCCCTCACTTACATTTTGTATTTTTGGTTGAAGTACATATAGTATTTAACTAACACACAGTGCTTGCTACTAGAAACACATTGGTTGTTTTTCTTTTTTCTAAAATAATGGTTACCCTGCTGCTAGAACGTAGCATTTAGTTCCTGATCTAATAACAGAGAAATTTGGTAATTGATCACAGCTCCACCATGTGGACAACTTTGTACAACTGTTGACTTTCGAGTGATGACTGCTTTCTGCCCATTAGAGACTGGTCCAAGCCCACTGAAATCGTTAGACCTCTCATTGACCCAAAGACAATCCAGGGAGGCCCCAGGGATTACAATGGATGTAGTTAGTATGTGCAGAATGTGAGAAAGCACAGGGATCCATCCAGACCACACAGAGAAGCAAGCATAGGCACAATCCCTAAACTCAAGCTGTTGATGTCATGAAAATATTGTCATTGCAGACAGGTCTTCCCTGGAAGCAGTGCATAGCTCCCATCGAGGTCAATGAAAGCCACATACTTCCATTCAAGTGGGAGGATTCGGTTTCAATGGACACTTTGCATTTCGGTTGCTGTTCTGACATATCCAAATATCATTCCAGAGTTAACAACCCCACATTTGAAGGGCTTTATGGGGAAAAAAACACATACATCCAACCTGGCCATTTTCACCAACCTGCCAGTCACCAATCACTTACAGGTGGACATTTACACCCAAAGTATATTGTGCCCATTTCGCACAGCCTCTCCTTCACATTCAATTTTGGCAGTTCTAGTCTGAACAGAGGAAGGTTTCTCGATTTTTTAACTCCAGTATAATCAGTGCATGAGCCAAAATAAAACATGACTGCATACATATACAGTATTCTTTAAGAGAAACTCTTCTTCAGTAAAAGTTGACAGAGTTTGCCATCTGCTGGGAGATGATAGCTTTAGCAGTTTTGAGTGCATTGCTACTTCTCTTTGTTGTAAGGTCTGCTGAAATGTTATTTCTCTCCTTAACAGAACCTCCTCAGTGGGTAAAGAAGCCTGTCAGCAATGTTTACAGCGTTGGGTCAAATCTTGTATTGTTTTGTCAAGCTATTGGCAACCCTGAACCAACCATAAAGTGGAAACTTAATGGGATGCCCATTGATGGTAAGTGCAGAGGACAAGATATCGTTTTACCAGGCTCTACATGTGCCGTGCCCCCAGCCAAAAGTGGCTCATTGATCCAAACGTGTTGTGAAGATCGTTTTGGTCAAAGGTAACACTTCATAGTGTTAACAAAGGAAGTAGAATTAGCAACAATTTGGAGATGACTTGTACAGTAGTTCTCTCAATTTACTGACTGCAGCCGGTCAATATAATGTTTGCATTTTAAGGAATATGGATCCAACTCTAGTGGCACTAGCTGGCCTCTGAGATTTATCATCCTACTTTTCTGAACCTGGACTGGTGGTCATAAAGACATCCAGAAGGTGGCTGAAGCAAGAGGCCCCTTCCCAGTTCTTTCTCAGGCACTAAATACCCGGAAGAGATGTTTCAAAATATAACTGTGTAGCTACCATCAAAAGTAAAATATTTATGAAGGGCTCTAAAAAATTCTGCTGGTGATCAGAGTAGCCACAGCCCCATGTTTAGTCTACCAGGACAGTTTTCTGGCTGTCAGGTCAACTGTTAGCTTAACGCTGAGGACACAACACACTCCTTGTGCTTGCATTTGAAAGGGAACTGCTGGAACAGTAGTAATAACAGTGGTTCCTTATCTTACTGGTATATTTGGTTTCCTTTCAGGGAGGACGTACAGGGGCCAAATCCTTCCCAGAGAGATCAGCCTTATCAACCTACAGCTTCAGGACAGTGCCGTGTATCAGTGCGAAGCTACGAACAAGCATGGCACCATCCTGGCGACTGCCAACGTGAATGTTATCAGTGAGTACTCTCACAATAGGAAGATGTGTATGAAAAGGGGATTGCTAACTTCTAGCTCCTTCAGGGTAAATTGTTGGAGTCAGAATTTGTAGATGGGATCTAAGGTTGCTTATGTTCCCATTGTTTATCTAAACTAGCACTTGGGCTATATTGGTTGGTAGTATAAAAAAAAATAAAGCCAAAGGGATGGAACCTGGACCTTGCCCTTAGTAGTATAGTTATAACCAAAATATTTAGTTATTAAATATTTGAAATCTTGATGTCCCATTTCAATTATCAACCTCTATGGGCTGCAGCTGCTCAGGTACCTTTGCCCAGAGGTGGCAAGAATTTCTGGTGTGCAGAATTTCTCGGTCTTGCAGTCACCCAATTACTAGAGTTGGAGGCTCTGAAAAATGTTTCTTACCAACTTCAGTGCCCAGTACACAATGTCATTAATATGTATTCTGTTTTTCAGATGTTAGTCCAGTAGTGCTGACCCCAGAGGGTGAAGACTACGCCACAGTTGTGGGCTATAGTGCATTCTTGCACTGTAAAGTTTTTGCCTCACCTCCTCCAGTTATTAGATGGTAAGCCTTTGATAACTGGGTTTGTGTGCTGCTACTTTTAAATGGCTGTTTATAAACAAACTATGTTAATCTCAGAATACAAACACTGAAACTTCTGCTAGTTGTCATGGTTGTTGAGTTAAATATAATAATGAATAAGATGAGGCCAATTGTCTGGATTCATTGTGAGTTTTCCCTAGTGAATCTCAAAACATTCTGCTGAACAAGGATTAAATCCTTCCTTCCAATATCTGCTCAAGGCAGGTTTTGTAATAGCCCTTAAATTGGTAAACTGAGGGATTAGTGGCTGTATAAGCCAGTATATCAGGTGCTTCCATCCTCACTGGATGAGTTGCTTTCTTCGTACAAATGTATAATTGGGACAGAAGATCACCGAGCTGTGAAGCACATTTACCAAGGAATGTCCCTATGCTATGCAGTCAGTGATCGCGTGGTTTCCAAAACCCATGAAGGATTCAGTAACATCACCAATGATAGACACATTTTGACCACCTTAAAGAGGTGGTCTATCCAGGTAGAGATCTATGGAAGTGGCGTTTGAACTGCAAGACAGTTATGTCCCACTGAAGAGCAAACCATCTCAAACTCTCGCCCAAACAATAGTACTAGAAAATTCTCAACTAAAAAAGTGCCATGTATATATATGTGCATTCATCTATCTGCCCCTGTATACAATCCTTGTAATAAAAACCATTTAATCATGCTAGAAACATTCACTTCACTTGCCTCTTACAAAACCCATTGCCACTCTACAAAACCCACCAAAATACGTTCCAACAATTGCAGAACATTACCCACTGAACCAATACCTAAAAATCCTTAATCTTCAAACACAAATGAACTTAAAACTTAAATATTTCTTCATTACCAACTCATGCAAAAGCATCATCCTCTGCACCAAAGCTACACAGTTCCTAGTCTCACGTCCATATTTGTATCCTGAACACAACTCACTCTTTCCAAGTCTTCTGGTTCTCAACTTCGTGGTTGACCCTACTCAATTGCCTACTTATTTGTTCCTCTTTCCAAGGCCTTGGCTTGCACAACTTGCTTTCACTCATTTTAGCCCATGATAATGGCATTTTAACCATCTTACTGGCATTTGGTAGTGTTTATATTTCCCTGATGGCTTCTGACCCACCCACCAAAGGTATACCTTCAATTAGCTTTGAAACTTGGAACCACTGGTTCGATGATAATGATGGTCTGATTAAATGACTTGCTTAAAAGTTACGGAGGAAGAAATGAAAATAGAATCCAGACACTCTGATGTTAATCTCTTGAAATAAGTGTTAACGCTGAATTCCCCTGTCTGTATGAAAGCCCAGTTTCAGAATGCCTGAAAATAATTGATGAGCATTATTGTATTGTTAGGGTGAGAGAAGACAGTACGCAGTCACTTGAAGGTCTACGTTATACCGTATATGAAAATGGCAGTCTGGAAATAAAAGAAACAATGAAAGAAGATTCTGGATTATATACTTGTTGGGTGACAAATTCCGTTGGAAAAGGTGCAGTCAATGCCAATCTGGATATTAGAGGTAACATCTTGTTTTATAAATGGAGACATATTAGATACATGGCAAGGCTTTAGATTTATTAATTATTTCCTGGCGAGTACTGTTTATAAATACCATGTTTTACACCTTTTGCTTCCCAAAATTATCACATGGGTTTCAGACAACACTGTATTCAGAAGTACCAACCTTTTCTCTTACTCTTGCCCTAAATTGCGAATGCAAGACTGTTTTTTCATAGTCTGAGACACTGAAGAAAAGTATGCTCCTGACCTGTTGCAACTTTTAATTAACTAGTGCTTCTGGGAACCCATCTGGTAATACTTTTAGGTTCAACCTTCCTTCTATATTCTTTAGCACATGGAAGAAGGCTGGCTCATCCCAACCAGGTTACAGAATATTACTGGAGACTTCACTGCTTTTTTCCAGTTTCAAATTGAGGTCCTTGCTTTACCAGGCTTAAAAATCCAGAAGCCCCTTCCTTACCTTCTTTAAACTTCTTTTTACCCCATCTACACATCCTGTTCTATTTTGTCAAGGAACCAAACCTCTTATTGAATGTATGGGCACCTAGCAGTCCCCTACTCCACCCATTGGGATTACACTGGGATCCAGGCTTTGGGATTTTGCTGTTTGCATTGTTCTACTCAATTTATTGGGATTAGAAAGGAACAATCCACATTACTTGATTAATTTGGGCAGTCAGACTTTTTTTTTTTTATCATTCTGTCAGTGTCCCAGGCACCTGGGGGATGGATTGATTTTGCATAGTGGCAGCATTCCTGTAAAGTTTTTGCTCTTACATTAGTGGTACCTACTAGGGCTGGGCGAAGCTTCAGTCCCCGATTCGATTTGGTGCAGATTCGGCCCGATTCTGTGGCCGAATCTCTGAATCCTAACCGCATCAGAGGACCCTTTAATCTCTTCAAATTGAATTGGAGCCCTTCGAATCAACTCTGAGAGGTTGGGAAAGAATCAGACATAGAAACAGCTTTAAATGTTTTTTCTACATACCTCTAGATAGCAGGGGCTAATGAGTATTGTGTTACTGGGGCACATGGAGTGTCACAGAGAAGCCTGGGGGGCTCCCTAGCACACTCCCCAGTCCACTTCCAGGGCCACTGCAGAGTGCACAGGGTCCCCCCCACTCTGCACCCCCCCAGTTTGGTGACTGGCACTTCCTGGGCCTGTGGGGGCCGCTAATGATCCCCCTGCGGCTGATTGCTGAACCGGGGGAGCTCAGAGGAGGGGAGGGCCCAGCACACTCCCTGGCGGATCCAGAAGTGGACTGGAAGTACTTCTGATCCACTTCTGGGTTTGCCACTGAGCACATGGTGGGGTGCCCCCGTGCTCCTGTGGGATGCTCCATCCACCCCAGCACCGCAGTGTTCACAAGCCATGCCGATACCTCAAGGTATGTAAAAAAGCTTTTAAAGCTGTGTCTATGTCTGAATCACCGATTCTCTGAATCAGCATTAAATCTTCAGATTTGGATTTGGCCGAGTCGAGTCAGGGACAGTGATCTGAATCAAAGAATCGAATCACTGTCCCTGATCCGGGCTGAATTCGAATCTAAATCGAATAGGGCCCACTTTGCACACCGCTAGTACATACACATCCCATTTTAATTTAGGGGATGCTTTTCTTGGCTTAAAATGAATGATGGAGTTGGATAGATTCTATTGAGACCATATGTCAATGAGTGTCACTGAGGACGTAATGGCACTCAGAGTTTCCAGGGCTGGTAGTTGGGAAAAAGCTCCAGCATTTTACATGTCATTTGGACATAGATTCATACATGTTAGGGTTGGAAGGGACCTCAGTAGGTCATCGAGTCCGACCCCCTGTCCTGGGCAGGAAAGAGCGCTGAGGTTAGACGACCCCAACTAGGTGCTTGTCCAGTCTCCTCTTGGCTTACAAAATGGTTGAGGGGGAAGAAACAGGGAAACACACTTATACTTTCATAAAGATGCTTTTTGCTGTATATGGCAATATACAGCCCATAGACTTTTCTTACTTATTCAACTACTTCCACATTCAAATTTGTCATTTAAAATAACCAGCTTGATTGTGATATTTTTTTCTCACTTGACTTTAATAAGCTTGTAATTTTTTCCTGGATCATTGCCAAAGTCTATTTGAAATGCCAATTGGGCGTATAAATTGTATTCATATTTTTTCTCTCCCTCATTCGTTTCATAACACACCATTAACTAGGATTTTCACCTGTGACATTTTCCTATAAACTCCAGATTGGTGGTATGATCCTTTTTGACACAGACTGAACTCAAAGAAAATGATTAGATAGTAAACTATATTCTGGCACAAATCCAAGTACACACAAAAATCTCCTCTGTGCCCATGTCCACCCAAGTGGTGGACTGCACAGTTCTTACAGCGCAGGACTATTGCGGCAGGTTTTTTTTTCAGATACTACGGCACAGTAGCAATAACCTACTGCACAGTAGCTCATTAATACAGCGCAGTAGCATTGCATCACAGTTAATGCCCACCAATGCTACTGCACAGTGGTAATGAGATACTGCATAGTAGCTCATTGCTACTGCACAGTAGCATATTTTATATACAAGTCATACCGGGTGCATCTATTTAGGAGGTGTGGGGAGGGGAATGCACTAGGTTGCTGCTAGGATTGTTCTCTGTGTTTTGTTCGAAGGAAATGTAACATAATCACTTGTATATTATCAATCAAAATAACTTTCTGTGATCCCTCAGATGCTACAAAGCTTGCAGTTACTCCAAAGAACCCACAAGTGCTGAAATTGCATTCAGTGTTATTGAAATGTCTATCTGAATATGACCCACACTTGAAACACAGCTTTAAATTATCCTGGAGAAAAGACGGAGATGAGCTCCAAATCAATAGCACAGAAGATGGGAGGTAAACAAAACGAAACAGAAACTTCTTGTCTTTATACTCTGCCTTCTGTTGTATATAGCCTAGTTAATTTTATTTCCTTATGACACGAAACGTAATAATTTGAAGAGTACATATGGGTGTCTAACAGTGAAACGCTTCATTGTGACTGAATCTGCATTGTTTTTCCGATACATGGATATATAAAAAATATTTGGAGTTTGAAGCCATGATTTCCAGGTAGGTTCATATTCAGTTGCTATGCTGTGGAGCAGTGCATCGCATTAGGGGACTATGTGGCATAACAAAACATCAAACTTTGTCTTTTAAACTTTGTCAAAGCGTTAAATTCTGGTCCAAATGTAGTCGTTGGAAATTTTGGCACTGACATCAATGAAACCAGAATTTCAATCCAGCCATTCAACACTTGGGTGCCAAGAGTTGAGCAAAATCTGACACTTCATCCCAGCACGCAAAAAGTGAATAGAATAGAGGTCTCTGGTAGCCTCAGTTTAAACTGTACATGCGAAAAGCACCATGTGTGTTTTATATGAGTTTTATGGATGAGTGAAGCCTGGCTGAATTTTGCTCCAAATATTAATTTGCCGATGACTTAAGGAGGACTAGGACTAATCCCTTAACCCTGCTGGACGATTTGAGGCTGACAGTAATGGATGTGTGAATTCCTGTATTATATTATTCTATACCTTGACATTTTCTCTTTCTCCTCTCCTCTCTAATTTGTATACGTATTTTGTCCTGAAGGATAATTGCTGACATGGACACAGTGTTCATATCAAGCGTAACAATGGAGGATCAAGGTATTTATACCTGTGTGGCTAGTACATCTCTAGACCGTGTTACAGCTGAATCCCAATTGATTGTCCTTGGTAAGTAGTATTTGTTTCCTGGTTTGCAATAAACTAAACACTAATACAGCCTTTTTTAAAAAAACTTGCCCATTAACTTTATAGAACCTCTGTGGCCTGATTTTCTAAGTTCCTGCAAGTCCAATTAACTCCAGTTAAGGATATGCTTTCTCAGCACCTGTGGAAACAAGGATCTCAGAGGCAGAGTATTTAATAAAAGATACCTATAACATAATCTTCAGCACAGTGAACAGGAGGAAGCCATTTTCTCTTGTAAGAAGGCAGTCTAATAATTTATAGTGGCTATAGCAGGCCAGACCCTTTATTTGAAATAGCAAAACAGTCCCGCCGTTGCCTTGTAGCCTCAGAGGAGTCTTTCACCATAGCCTCCATGTAGCGCTCCACTGTGCGTTGCCTGTAAAGTATGGCCCAATGGGAACTTTCTTAGGAGTTGGATAGATTTAACATAGATAAAGCCACCCTGTATTTTGAAATAAATTGTATGAACCTCTTCTCGTTACATTGGGGAACACTAGATTTGTAGAGAAAAAAAACCCCTTAAGGAACTGACATTTAGTTATGTAAAGTCCTGCTCCTAAGTCCATTGTCTAGTATACTTAATATGTATTAACGATATCTTTCAACGTCTTGCATTTTATGGAAATATGAGACTGTAAGTGGCCCATGCCCCTTCCCAGAATATCCTGGTAGCATAAGCATACACCTGGGATGTTGGGGCATTTTACATGTGCTCCAGTGGTGGGGGATAGGTGGGTGCTTGAATTAGAGCAGCTTTCAGGAGCCGCTCTAATTAAAGCACCCACAGCGTCTCATGTATTCAGCATCCCATGATTCAAAATGGCAGCGAGGCAAGCTTGTTTGATGTGCTTGAGTTAAAGCGTCCACCACCAGTTTGAAGCGCAGGGACACTGACCACATGAGACGCTGAGGCTGCTGGAGCATGCTGATTAGCACACTCCAGCAGACTCGATTAATGAAATCCCTTGTAGTAGCTATTGCAGGCCAGAAGCTTTATTTGTAATAGTGAAACAGTTCTGCTGTTGCCTCAATTAATTGAGGCTGCTCTGACGCGCTGTAATTACAGCACATTGGAGCAGGTCTCCTGCCCGTCTACAGGCACTTTGAAGACTTAGGTTCAAGTTTTAGTGTTGCCTGATTCTGAACAGGGCTTGAACCTGGGTTTCCATAATACAGGTAAGTGTCATGGTCTCTGGACTATTACATATTGGGGAGGAGGGAAGACTCTGACTCTCTTTTCTTGAAGCTGTTAAACTATGTTTAGTTAATTATTTTGATTAGGCTAGAGGCAGACTGTTTAGAGCTCCATGCCTAGAGAAGTCAGACCTGACTCAGACAGAACAGGGAGTTTAATTTGGATCTTACCACGAAGCTTTCTTGCGTAGGAGCTAGTCCCCATATTGTTCTGTCTCTTATTTGCACCTCTTTTTGGAATCAGAGATTTAGGCATCAAAATTAGAGTTGGGCTCCTGAACCTGACTGACTTGCATAAGGTCATAAGGGATGTCTACACCAGAGCAGGAGCCTAAACTCATGTCGTCCAAGTCCCAAGCCAGCGCTCTAACCACTGGACCATACTTCTTGCTCCTGACCCTCTTCTCAACTTGTGCTGTGCCTACCCAAACCCTTCTTGAAGCCCTGGGTGGGGGGTGAACCTGTTCAGTGACACTCGATTCCCAGTATCCAGTCTACATATTTATGCAAGACAACCGTGGTACAGGGTCCTTAAAACATTCGTTTAACGTCAAGTTATTGTTTTCAGTTTAATTTCATCCATTTATTTTCTACCAGAGGCGCCTCAGGATTGAGGACCCTGCAGATTGGACTGATTTATGGTTATTTTGTGCTTTAATAATAAATACGAGTTTTCAAGAAAAGTAAATTAACAACATGACTTGCAGTTTCTTTACAGTACTGTATGTATGTACAATTCATGAAGGGCTATATCTCCTTTTAAAAACTGATTTGCACAAAAAAGGGGAGGGCAGGGAGGCAATCTTGTGTCCTGTACTTTCTCGGTCTGGTATATAAGAGGTCTGTAGTTTTTGAAAACAGAAATTGCACTAGTTTTCTCCTATGAGAAGCCATTTTGCAACTAGGTAACTAAACACCACTAATAGAAAGATACCACAATTTTAGGAATTGGGAGCAGAACAAATTTGTACTGACAGTCCTTAACACCCTTTTTTTGTTATTCATGATTAATGAGCTTACTGTATTAATCTTAGTTTAAGAGACAGCCCCTCTGTTTTTCCATTTATGATATGAAAACTCAAAACCCCCCCAAAAAACCCACGTGCCACCACAAGAGGGCATCTAGCAAAACTCAGGGGGATTGGATTTGGCTTGCTTGACATTTCAAATGTATTTTCCAAGCAGGGGAGAAAGGTAGTATAAATCAAAAAGATATTTTTTTTATCTTTTTCATGTCAAAAGGAAGGTGTGAAGGCACAAATCAGCTATTTTACTGGTTTCCTGCTTTTTTTATTTTTATTTTTTTACTTTAACGTGTTATAGTGATGCAGTTTTCAAATCTTGTTTGCTGGCAGTTTGAACTTACAGGTTTGGCCAATTGTAGATGATTTCTCAGGGAAGGAGAAGGAGGTCAAGAGAAGTGTTAGCACCGTGCTCTACTCAGGATAATTTGCCTGAACTTCTCAGCAGGATATATTAACCTTATGGCTATAATGATTCCAGTGCTGGAGGCAGCTCATTTAGAGCTAGTTTGCTATCTCCATACAGCACTACCTGGGACTGTATAAATGTGCTAAAAGCTTCGCTCAGGACTGTGACACAGTTTGGAAGCTGCATGGATTTTATTTTTTATCTTCATATCTACTGTACCACAACACTGATGAAATGAGGAAGTGGGGGCTAGTATTATTAGGCCATCATCATCAGGAGAGCTAATATCAGCCTATATACATTTTATTTCCCAAGCTAGTTCCATATCACCCTGTTGCACACTGACAAAGAGCAAGCCACAAAGGGCAAAGATAACCATCCCTCTGTGTGACTGTGCCTCGTGTTAAATGCATTCAGCATAGGAAAGGAAAGACATTTCAAAGACATAGGCTGATCCCCATCTTGGATTGTCTCTGCTGCCTTATATAAACTTCCTGGGGGAAAAAAAGTCATTCTGCAAAAACAAGTCTCTCCTCCCATGCTGTCTTTCCAGCTCCCTGGTTACTCCTCCTTTGTATGGTTTATTTGGGGTTAAGTCTCAGTCAGCCCAGCTATAAAATCCAGTAACATGCTTTGATATGCATCTTGGAAAACCAACTCTGATAGATGCATTGGAGGCAGTTGAAGGCAGAGTCCCTTTTCTTAGAGCTTAAATAATCTTATCTAGGGCCCAAAGATAAGCGTTCTAGCCCAGTCCTTGCCATATACTTGTCACATTGGCATTTGAGTGCCCTGTTACCTTTTGGCATGGTTTCTGGAGAAAGAATAAACCGGGAAGATGAGGCATATGCTCTCTGGTCCCTTCATAATGTGGGGCTAGAATGGAAATCTGCCAAGGGTAATGAATACTCTGTTCTCATTTATCCCAGCAGAGAATTGATTTTCTGTAGGAGGTCAGATTCTTTCCCTAACCTCTGGTTTGGACAGAGCAAAACCAAGTGAAGCAAATATGACTTTCTGTTCAAACCATATCAAGATTTTTTAACATTTAAATAGACCTTAGGATTGACTTAAAAAGAAAAAAAAATCCCTATAATGGCAGATACTATAATGTGAGTGGATGCTAATGCTCCTGAGAATGAACACAGTCTTTATCAGAAGGTGGCGAAGTGAAAGGATTCATCTCGCCTTTGTATAAAAAGGTGAGAGTTTTAAAAGTAATAGCAGTTGGCATTTCTGGGATTTCTGTCTGGTTACAAAGCTGATTTAATTCAGCCAGGTTAGACTAACCTGCAAAGATCGAGTCAATGGAGGCACAGGCTTTTTGAATGTCTGCCCCTTGCCTTAGAGAAGAAACTGTAATATTCTGAATACTTTTTCAGATAAGGTGTGGGGTCTTTCAGAGTTGGCTTTAGAGAAAGTGGTGCTCTGTTCCCGCTGAAGTTAGAGGGAATTTGACCACTGACTTGAGGCTGATAGGCCAATACTCAATGCTTTAAAATATAAAATTGATCTTTGTTCTCCTCTTTCCTCTGTTTTTAGATGTTCCTGACCCACCTGCAGCCCTTCAACTCTCAGAGAAACAGGACAGAAGTATTAGATTATCCTGGATAGCTGGAGACAGTCATAACAGTCCTATTAATGGTATGAAGGATTCGGCCAACATGGTTCGCTATTTTTAGAGATGTGGCATGCTGTGTCAGTTAGAATAACCATCCGGTGCTTATAGAAACACTTGATTGGTTGTACCGCTGAAGTTCATTTCTTGTTACTTTGTTTTCTTCCCTTCCTGCTACTCGGTTTATATGGGCTATTTCTCTTTCTTGTTGTTTTCCCTTCCAGAGTCTATTATAGAATTTGAAGAGAATCGGTGGGAGCCTGGGAAGTGGCAAGAACTAACCCGAATCCAGGGGAATGACACGACCGCTGTTTTATCCTTGGCCCCTTTTATAAATTACCACTTCCGTGTTATATCCGTTAATGCTGTTGGGAGAAGCCGGGCTAGTGAGCCATCAGCACGCTATGAGACACCTCCAGCTGGTATATACTGCCATCTAGTATCCTGAGTGTTCATTTTTTAACATAACATTTACCCTGACTTGTTGTATAAGGATATGCAATATGCCAGGACAGCTTTTGCTGTTTTCTCAGCCCAGGTAATGTGGTTTGGGACTAGACTGTTATACTTTTACAGATCCTGAGCCTCTTATTCCCTGAACAGTTCTCCTTGAAGTCAAATTCAGCAGATGCACTTGCAGTGACTATTTTCCAACAACAGAAGGGTCTGATAGAGAGCCCTCCACACCAGCCAGCAGACCCAGAGCCCTACATTAGGGAATACAGCGTTTTGCCACGGGTGGCAAAGCAGCAGGCACACGTGTGCCATGACAGCAGTGTACAGAAGTCAGGCATGATGCTTGCAGGAGTTCTGGCTGGGGCACTGAGGTTCAATGTAGCCCTGCGTACAGAAGCAGGAGTTGGATAGGATCTTTAGCAAGATTTATGGTAAGCCTTCCAGCAGCACTCAGCTTGTCACAGATTTCCATTCACAGTGCATTTCTCATTGTAACATTAAATGACTGATTCCTGAAAGTCATTTTATAGGCCAGCTGTTCAGCGTTGTATTTGCATTGCCCTCGCTTTCTTCTTTTCTGTAACTCTAGGGTCATTTTTTCCCCTTATATCGTCTCCGCTCCTTACACAGCTTTTCAGCTCTGACTCACGCTAATGATGCACCTTCTGTTTCTCCATCCCCATAGGGGGAAATGTCTCTTCTGAATAATCCCCCGACATCTGGTGCTTTGAAATGCAAAAGGACCCAGGTTAGCATCAGCTGATACCTCTAAGAAAGAAGGCTGCCATAGAGTGAAACCATCTAGACAACATGTTTGTTCACTAAGGGCCATGCTGGACTCAGAAGGACCCAGAGACAAATTGTGGTCTTGCTGGTGGTAGATTTCCTGACAGCCTCCTGTGTGCGGCATGCCAGTCAACCCTGACTAATACCAGGAAACAAGGGGGACCCAGAAGCAAGCAAAGCCAAGTGCAGCTCTGCCCTTGAGTTACAGGAGGGCTTAAAGGCCGGGGCAGAAATTATTGTGGGTCAGGACTTCACCATTCACTAAAGCATGTGCCTATCTATCAGTATAGAAATATTCTGAAGTTGTGCTGTGTCAAGTAATTTAATCAAAGACACTTGACTTAATCAAAGACACTCGTTCTCAAAATCCAAGTCAGAGAATTAACACATCACTTCTGGTATTTATCTGTTTGTTCAATGAAGATGTTGGACATGGGGAGATGTGTGTGGGTGGAGTGGTGGGAGGACACAGAGAAGATTCATTAAAGGCAGACCATGCAAACTAACTTCCTGGCTTTGCTCTTACAGCTCCAGACAAGAACCCAGAAAACATCCGAGTTGAAGCTTCTCAACCAAATGAAATGATTATGAAATGGGAGGTAATATTTAAACGTTTCTATCAGTGGTACTGAGAGTAGCTAGTTGTGTTAGGTGCTACCCTGTCCTGCCTTCTGACTTCATGCTAAGACCGTGTCCAGACAAGCACAAGCCGCACATTTTGGGGCAGAATTTGCTACTGCGATTTCAGGTAGCAAAAATAAGCACCGGGAGAAAAAGCAGCGCAGAACACGCTACAAAAGCATGTCCCAGAACAAACGAAAGCTTAGTCCTCCAGTGAGATGCTCCAGTGAATGTCTCTACTGCTCCATTTGTGCCCTGGCTGCTCTACCACTCCAGGAGGAGCTGCGCAAGAATAGGTTGCCTACAGTGGGCAAATTTGTCTCGCAACAAAGCACACGTGTAGAGGCATGCACTGAGGCACAGAGTAGTAGCACAAATTTGTGCCACTACTATTTGTGCCGTTGTAAGTGCATGCCCCTGCTTGCCTGAACATGGCCTAAGAAATTAACTGGCTAAGAGCTGTGTGAGCCTCATAGGCAACAATCTACTTCATCAGATGCTACTTCATCACTCTGCCCAACACTGATGCAATATATGAAATGGTTTTTTCTCCCACGTTTTACTTTCTGAAGCATTGTTGAGATTGAGGGTTATCTTAAAAGTGTGTACACACTTCCAACATTATCTCTTGCCTTTTCCCCTGGCAAAATATACTATTTGTCTTGCAGGTACCATTAATAAACTTCCTGGGTGTGAAATCCTCAGACTCATTAATGTCAAAGGCACAACTCTAATTGACTTCAGTGGCGCTAGGACTTCTTATCTCATATTTTTCTACCTTTTGTTGTCAAAATACATTTTTGTTTCCTAAATGTCAAGTGTTACGGAGAAAGGAAGAAGGTTCATAATATATAAACTCCTCATGTAGTGTGGGGAGAATAAACCCTGAGAGTACACTCTTACACTACATAAAAAAAATCTAAAAATGGTAACGAGAGTCTAAGGATTCCTGTAAAATAGTCAAGAGCAGAGTTCCAGCCTTCAAATGTCTATCTGTTTGCTATTTACATGCAGGCACTTTCACAGAATATATATTATCTCCCCTTCAAATCAAGTTTCAATATTTGTGGAGGTAACATATTTTGTGCAATTGGCATTAAATAGTTTTGCACTGGGTGTAGAGAGCCTAAGTTTGACCCTGATTCTGTCAGATGACAGCATACATTTTTGCAACCAAAATTTTCAATTTAGACGTGGGTTTCTTTCTCAGAGGACGTGGTCTTCTGGGTCTATTGACTTTCACTTTAATATGAAGCTTCATTCTACAATATAGTCCATAGTCAGTTAAAACATTCTATTTTTATACTATAGATGCATAGTGGTAGCTACCAGCACAGACACATGTTGTTCTGAATTATTTGTCCCACACCCAGCAATGTGTTAAGTGCCTCATGGAGCCGATAGAGATGTCAGCCAAAAAACTTCACAATCTTTAGTTCAGACACTGCACAAGTGTAGGTGAGAGCAGACATTGAAGGGAGTGGAATAGGACTGGAGAGGCTTTGATACATAAGGTCATGGTTCAATTAGGGATATATATTTGTGACAGCATTTTTCTTTGATTTGCTTTCTTATACACTTCATGGCAGAAATGCTGTGCCTTATATGCATGAAAGACTTTCTGTCCAGGAAACAAAAGCCAAAGATACATACACTGATTCTGTAAAATGATGTTAATCTGCCAAGTTTGGATTAACACACGAGATGAGCATTAGCAGCAGGGTTTTCAGCCAAGGATCTGCAGCATCAAGTGAGATCAAATAAATAGTCAAGCAGTGCTGAAATTTAACTCTAAACTAGAATTTATTTTCCAACATGAAGTTTTATTTTCTTCTGTGGGTAGGAAGCCAAAATATGCTTTGGCACCAGCACCAGAACACCATTTTCCCTAAAGACAACTCTGTAATATTCTGAATACTTTTTCAGATAAAGCGTGGGGACTTTCAGTTTCTTCTCAAAGGCTAGGGGCAGACATTCAAAAAGCCTGCACCTGCATTGACTCAATCTTTGCAGGTTAGTCTAACCTGGCTAGGCTAAATCAGTTTTGTAACCAGACAGACATCCCAGAAATGCAGGCACATGCCTGCAGTTGCTCAGGGTGGAAGCTGGAGGTGCTAGAGCATCCCTCCTTCCTTCCACAGCATGGAGCTGAGAGGGGCATGGCCAGGCTTGGCAGGATGCTGTGATTAGCCCAGCAAGGAATTGATAACAGTGTTTATCACGCAATTCAACAGAAGGACATTACCACCTATTTGTTGATTCTACCTGTTGATTTAGCAGGGACCGTAGCCAGTATGTGGTCTGCTAGCTAATACACAGACACCTCCTCAGCAAGGCAGAGGGGAGTGGTGAGGGGGAGGGGGAAAGTAGCCCGCAGTCTCTGGAGCTGCAGCCAGGGAGCAGAGGGGAGGGGCCAGCCCTGCTGTGGAGCAGAGGGCCCTGCCCAGCCCCGAGAGCATGCTGGGATGCTGGGGGATTCTAGTTTATCTGAAACCAGCCAGGGGTCTGGGACAGACATTGCCAGTTTGAGCCAAACCAGTTAAGTCTGATACTATAACCGCTTTCAGTCATTCTGAAACTGGTTTATGTGCACTGAACATCTGTTCTGTTACAGGTTTAAACCAGTTTCTGATCACTTAAACCGGCGAATGTGTAATGACTGACCCTAGCCTAACAGTGCGTGTGTTCCTATACTTTAGCTAATGGAGTCAAGATATTCATGAAAAAAACAGTTAATGTGTATCAAAGAGTAAATACCCTGGTTCTACCCTGGACCTAAATTTAGTCTGAATGCAATTCATGAATCCTCCATTTGACTTTGGGTGAGATTTGCGATTTGTTCCATCTAGCTAGTTAAATAGCCATAACATCAGACAGGTAAGTAAGTGAATTACCTGAATCAGCGCTCATTAACTTTGTACTTTGTTTAACCCCAGATACTTTTTGAGAGGGTATTATTTCCATATATATCAAAGAATTAATTTGCCACTTTTCTTAAATCTTATGCTCCTAGAGAAAAATTCAAAATTGCTTAATACTTTAAATGCTAAGACAGTTTGTTTTACTATCTTAATACTTTCAGAAGTCACTTAAGCTTTTTATTTTGTATGTAGCTAACCACAATCTTTCTGCAGAGTCTTTATCTAGATGGGTTTGACGTTATATAGAAGAACATTTCTATCCCTCTTCTACTGGGACCAGAAAAGGCTTATCTAGGGCTGTGGTTACTCCTTTCTGTCATTGAAAATATGGAGGGTTGTTTCCTGCAGCTTTCTTCATAAAATTGTGAATTGCTATTCCCTCTATCTAGCATCTAGTTCAGAGGCTCAGTTTGTTAGGGCAGTACTTCAGTCCCTATTCACCTTGGACCCTGTGTTCATCATCTATTTAAAGACTATGGCTTACCAAGCAATCCCATGTGCATGAGAATACAAAGTAAATTCATAGAAATGTAGGTTATTTGCAATGGGACTTCTTCATTGTAGACTGTATAGTCGTATTTCCTGCTTATTTCCCTACATCCTTTGAATACCTATGAAATTGTGCCTCTTGAAGGAACTGAAGCAGTAGAGGGCACCACATCTCCTCTTAGGGCCTTGTCTTCAGAAAACTGGTGCTTAAATCTGTGTGGTGTGGCACTGGTCTAGCATGTGGAGTCTGTCTGTTGATGCAATCCAACACGTAGGCATGATCTCACAGGCCAGATCCAGTTGTGGAGGGACCATGAACTGGCTCTGATTCAGTCCATGGGACCATGTCATCCTGAGTGTGCAGCTCCCCATGGGTCCACATTACATGTGTAAGCATTGTAATGGACACAACTATGAAAAAATACCATTACCTAAACTGTACTGGCTGACACGTCCCATGAGCACGAATATATTGAGTCTCAAAGAGCTCCTGTTACAAGTCATTAACCTCTATTTTTATTTCCTTTAAAATGTAAGACTAAACTGAAAAAGTTCTGTAAATTCTGCTGACAGCAACATTAAGTTTCCATGACTGGAAACCCAAGCAGTGTTTTCAACAAAGTCCCTGTTGCAGGGCTTTAGCAGTGCAAAGGTCAGATTTTAAGTAATCAGCAATCATTTTCATTTAGTCAGTTATGCCTATATATTATATAAAGCTTGTAACAAACGTGAAGAACAAGCATAAAATTTAAAGTTTGTTTAAGATCCAGAAAAAGCATGTTAGTACTTTTCAGGGGGAGTTCATGCACTTTGCTGGATTTGAGCCATACTGTATTCATGTATACTTCTGTCTGGGGGGAAAAAGTTGCTTAAGAATTTATACCTATATTCTGGGGGAAAAGTTGTTTGATTTACTGCATTCTTCAATGGTTATCTAAGTTACAAATACATTTTAAGAGTAGTTTGACATGAGGACTCAAAGTACGAATTCAGCCCATGGTTGGTCATGTTTGTCCGTGGTCCATGTGAGATGAGTCACAAGCACCAAAAAGAATGGTGAATACAGAAGCATTAGGCACTATTTTGATTGAATTTATTTTGATAGTACTCAGAAATCAGTTAACATGGTGGATCTGTGGTACTGTCCATGCTTTTTATTTATGGAAAAGATGAGCTGTGTTTTGGAAATTATTTTTTTTCTTTTTCTTGATATGCAAGAAAAAATCCTCAAGGACCCATCCCTTCCCACCAAAATAGGAAAGGAAAAAAGAAAATGAAAAATTGCATTTCTTTCACGTTTTAGTTTCACAAAAAAGTCCGTACTGCTCACAATCAGTCCTGACACCAGCAAGGTCCGCTTTTGCTCCATCACCCCAGAGAAGATGTCATGGACAGAGAAGGTTTTTTCCAGCTCAAAGATTAGAAGAACCATGGCAGAGGAGTTTCAAGGCTCCTTTGCATCTTGCCTGCAGCACCCAGCCTTGTGCAGCTCCCCAAATAAATCTGAACATTGTTTAACCTGGATAATTATCAATACTCACTGTGTACCTCAGTGCAATAATGGACTGATTAAAATCATTCATGTTCAATAGCACAGTTGGCCAATTAACATGTTAAGTGAAAAAATACCTTTTGAACTAAATAACCTTAATCAGAATGTGTCTCATGGCCAGCCATTGCCATACTGCTTACACTATTCGGAGATGGTAAGGCTGGAAGGGACCTTGGAAGATCATCGGGTCTAACAGCAAGACAGCTGGGGTCAAGTGACCCCAGCAAGGTGATGGTCTAGTCTCCTCCTGAAGATTTCCAGGGTAGGTGACTGCACCAGCTCTGGAGGGAGCTTATTCCACAGTTTGGACACCCTGACTGTGAAGAAGTTTTTCCTAATCCTGAGCCTGAATCGATCTTCCAGGAGCTTGTGGCCATTACTCCTGGTTTTCCCCTCGGGTGCCCTGGTGAACAGTTGCTCACCGAGCCCTTGATGTACTCCCCTAGTGTCGCAGTAAGCTGCTACCAGGTCCCCTCTCGCCCTTCTCTTCCTCAGGCTGAAGAGTCCCAGATCCCTCAGCTTTTCCTCGTATGGCTTGTATAAATTAATGTCAGTTAGCTAGTGTCCATGCTGTGGTTGAATTCCTCAACCAAGCAGTAAAAATAGTAGCACAGCACTTACCCATTGAGTATGAAGGCCTAGTTGGGGGAGTTTTGGTGCATATTTAAAACACTACAGGGTAATCTAAATTTTAATGGCCCAACTTGCTGTGATTCATAAAAATCTGAGATGGCGTGTATTTTAGATGTAATAAAGATCGCACATTTTTATGTCACTATAAAACAAAGAAAACTTGCAGTGAAACAAAAAGTTAGTGCTTCTAATATGTAGAAATATACGCTTTAGTATTTAACCTGCTTTTAATCCATCTGTTTTGCAGTCCATGCTGCTTTAAAGTCCTGACGGCTTAATGCAGTTAAAAGTAGCATGACAGCAAAGGTTACATTTTTTTTCTCTCTCTCCTAATAGTATGAGCTACTGCTCCAAAATTATTCATCCCTTAAGCTGCTGTTTTATGATTACAACAACAAAGGCAGTTCAGTATCTCTTTTAACTTCTTCTGTAGCCACTGAAACCTGTGGAGCGCAATGGCCCTGGACTGGAGTACAAAGTCAGCTGGCGGCAGCAGGGGGTGGAAACTGACTGGAATGAAGAATTGGTGAAAAAACATTCCTTGGCATTGGGGAATACTCCCACATTTGTGCCTTACGAGATCAAAGTCCAAGCAGTAAATAGTTTAGGGTCTGGTCCTGAACCAAATATTACCACTGGATATTCAGGCGAGGACAGTAAGTAACTGGAGTATTTTTGTAAAACAAAAATATGTTATGTGAACAGTTTGTACATTGTTAAATAAATGCATGTCAAATAATGATTAGACAGTATTACAACTTGTTCATCAGTGATATTTAAGCACTTTTTACCTGCGTACTAAGAGAAAGAGAAGCTTTCCCTACCCATTTGGTTGCTGAGAATTTTAGTTACAGAGGGTTTGACTTCCAAAGTGGCTGGTTATGCTTCCACATACAAGTGTGTTGGTAAAATGGCTAGTCTAAGTCATACACTTAAAAAAGGGCCTGATGGAGCAAAGCATTTAAACTCATGTGAAATGTCAGCTGTGTTAGTTGACATCAGTTGGATCCAGAAGTTAAGAGCTTTGCTTGACTGGGGACTAGCAATTGTGCTATCTGATAAATCTTCTTCATTACACCCCAGACGTGTGGCCTATCCCAAAGCAACAAGGACCAAGGTGGGGCAGGCTTGTATCTTTCCAACAATTTTTATGTTAATTTACAGACCAGGTCTGCCACATTCAGGAAGCAGGTAGAATAAAGTTTACAGTTCCAGGAACACTATGAAGCCTGAGAAAAGTAGCAGCACCAGGATTAAAAACGTTGGTACCACCCCGTATCCACAGCAGACATCTTAGGACATTTTACATTCCATAATGCAAGGACATTTATCTGTCGTATGCACTCATGTATCCTCCCCGCATTGTGCAAGAAATAGTAGCATGCTTGTCGTGTAGTCAGCTGGCCAACCATCCCTTTTCAGGCTGGATCTATTTGCAAGCACTTCAGCTGCTCCTAGTAAGTACAGCTTACTGCAACAGCAGTATTTCACAGTTCATATGATTGTTTCACAAAAGCTACTCTTACAGTAACATCTCAGACCTCCGATGTTGCAGGTGCAACTTTGAGCCTGTAGTTAAAGTAAGGACTTCATTTTGTTGCCACTGTAAGTGGTGACCACTTCTCAAAGTGAGATCTACCTTTGATGATGATCAGGTACTCTTCTTCCATTTCTATATTGTGCATTTCTTCTTAATTGGCTGTCTTAATACAATTTCTCATTCATGTACCACAGCGGTCCATTTGTAGAATCATCGATTTTAAGATTTTAAGATTAAATGGCCATCTAGTAACGTGTATATTTGTTTTAGTCTACTGTGGGATCATGTTTTTTGTTGTCCTGAAATGACAGCATCACCGTGTGATACCAGCCCCATTTCTGTACCCTCCAATCCATGGCACCATAGTGCTACCTAGTAATTGTGTCTTTCCAGCGGGTTTTAATAAAGCAAGACGAGAAGTTATCCTGCTCATGGAATTAGTGCTGGTGCCACGGGTGATGGAGTTCGTACAAAGATGCTTGTGACTAGCATAAAATGGTTGAACTCCCTGGTACTCTAGGATGCTGAACCAATCCCTGCCCAAGCAATAGCAGAATTGTTCCTTCCTCTGTTGTTTACAAAATGAAGTTATAAGAGATATTTGGAGGATTGTAATTTCTCCACCTGCAATAATAAAAAGCTAAAAATTACTTTAGTAAGCAACCCAGTTCAGCAACAACAACCAAGTCCTTTTTTAGGATTTAGGGATTTAAATCAGCAAGGGAGTAAATACCACTGTAGCCAGCTCACATGGGGAGCCAAGATTTCCTGGTCCAAATTACAAATGCCCAAGGTATTAGTCCTTAGCAGCAGGGATTGAAGCCTGTTGTAGTAAGACGGGGCCAGTGGTGTCTCCAAATTGTACATCTTTCCGATTTCTCAGATTAATCTTATTATTGAAAATCAGGCAGCTTTCATTCCATGTTGAGTCTGAAAGCTTTAGATTATTTCCTTAACTGCAAAATAGACAGGGAGCCTGAATGACCTAACAAATAGCCTCCAAGAGATTAGCCAATTCAAGCAACTGAGTGTTTTATACAATAAAAACTCTTGCTTAATCCATCATGGCATGCACTAGCCATTACTGAATTGTATTATCTTGTAAGTACTGGCCCAGGGCCATTCTTCTAGTTTCTGCTCTTTCATTGCTTCATTACATGAGATTAGTCCATACTTTTCTTGGGTCTGGTATTGTGGAATGTCTTTGGAAGTTTTATGCGGAGGTTAGACAAACATTTGTCAGGGTTCGTTTCGACAGGAATGTTCCTGCCTCGAGCAAGAGACAGACAATCTCCTGAGGTTGGTTCTTTGTTTCTGAAAACCTAGTTTCTTTTAATTGCCATGAAAACAAACATCGTTTTCATTAACATCAAAAGGGAAGTTCTGATATTTATTACAGAAGGAAATTAATTGTCTATCAGGCTTCCTTACGTATTCCAGGGCATGGCAAACTCTAAATACGTTTGAAAAGTAGCCATTTTACCTGACTCTTTGGGTTTTTTCCCCCCTGTATTTTAGTTTTCTCTTACTTTTATTAGAAGCCTCACTGGGATCATTCACAATAGTAAGCAACTCCTTGAGAGTGAACAGAGAGTTAGGGACGTTTTTTCCCTATGGCCCATGCATTAACTATTGTATAGTATAAGATAATGAAAAATGCAAGTGAATTGAGAGAGGTTTCTCCTTGAGTTTTATTTCATTTGAAATACACTCTCTGGTGACCTGATTCAAACCTATGTATATCACTGGAAAGACTCGTTGGTCATTAGGTCTCTGACCAATGCCTCATTAATCCAGGCACTACAATAGATTGCTTAATGCTTTTGTAATGATGAAAACCCTACTGTTGAATTATGAAAGGTAATTACTTACAAAATAAACTGTATGGTTGCCTGTTTGAATGGTACGTCAATCCCAAATTTGATCCCCTCCATGTAATAAGGGTGATGGCCACCTTCTTGGCTGATCTTGGGTATTGAACTGGAACTCAGCATGAGTCTCTAGCTTGCAGCAAGATATAGGATACCCCAGCTACACATATTATAAGAATATGGCCTAGTAAGTACCTATAATATGTAATACTTGTGTTTACAGTTCCAGATGCTGCTCCTTCCAGTGTAATGGTGGAGGTCCTGAATAGCACACTAGTTAAAGCAATGTGGTCCAGAATTCCAAGAGACAGAGTTCGTGGACGCTTAAGAGGCTATAAGGTTGTTGTTTTGGGGGGTATTTTATTTTTTGGTAATAAATAACCCTCTATCTGTTCATATGGTTAAATGAATCCTGCCTATATGTTCTGTGATTTTTGTGAGGATGACCAATCCCTGACCACTCAATCTGAGAATCTACTGTTTTCAATACAGGTCATTTGGTGGAAAACAAGGAGTTTGCTGGATGGAAAAAGACACCACCCGGAGAAACACTTCCTAACTTTTATAGGAGACAGAAACCATGGAATGATTCCTGGTCTAGAGCCATTTAGTGAATTCCACTTAACTGTTTTAGCTTTCAATGGAAAAGGAGATGGGCCTGAAAGCTCGCCAATCATGTTCCATACTCCAGAAGGAGGTAATAATATGAAAACATTGGGGCAGAGAATACTAAATAAATATCTTTTGTGACATAGATCAAGTAATTTTAGAGAGACTTATATATGGACCTTTATTATTATGCCTATGTGGGCAGATTTAGAATAGCCATAGTTAAAGGCAAAATGCAATCTGCCATCTTCTCCATTTAGGTTCAGATTTTTAAAGACCATTTCACTGGGGAAGGGGAGAAGTGTCTTCCTTTCTCCTCTTCCCTTTGCTTTGGTGTCCTTTTGTGGCTGTAGTATGATAGAGGTGCTAACGAGCTCTTCTGGACTTTTGGACAAAAAGTTCTCTGCAAATGATGGGGACTGGGCCCGGTGACTCAGACAGCCACTTCCAGACCAGCCTTCCCATAGAGGTATCCATCCCTGGGAGATGATGAGCACATCTGACTCCCTGTTAAGTATATAGAAGTTAATAAGTGGAGCCCTTTTAGGAGGTGTGCAGAACCTTTCTTGAGTGGAGAATAGCACATGTTGAATAAATACGGAAAACTATGCGCCTTGGATGGAGTTATATTCCAGTCTGATGGGAATATGGAGAAACAGAGCTGGTGAAATACAACCTGCCTTCAATAAAGCTGAGCTAATATCTGTGTTTACAGTTCCTGAACAACCACATTTTCTAAGGATACTAAACTTTGATAAGGATTCTGTCACTCTGTCATGGGGACTTCCTAAGAAATCAAATGGCTTTCTTACTGGCTACAGTTTGCAATATCAAATAAGTAAGTAAATATTCAACTTTGTCTTAGATTTTTAGCAAATAACGTATAGTTTGTATAGAAACAGTTATTTAAAACAGCTGCTAGCCTACAGACTGTTTTTAAAACTCAGATAACTTGATTAGCAAAGAAGCAACGTTCCAAAATTACAGATGTTAGTTCAGCCTGCTAGGGGGCAGGCCTGCTTCATTTTCCAGAGAAAAATGTTTTTGACATGTTCGTTCCCAATCTGTTTAAACTCACAGTGTAATCATGCTATATTTAACGTTGCATCGACTAATCAAACACTGTAATACAGGATTTGAAATTTGCAAAGGCTATTTTATTCAGCAGTTAAAGGACGCTCAGAAAATTCTGATCTGTTTTTAGAAAGACACCTAATTTCAAAGAAGAAATAATTTGCAGTGATGAGACAAGGATTGTATGCATGGTTATGGCTCAGAATAATTAACCACATATACTTAGTAGTGGTGAGCAAAGATATAAACACTTCTTGTGAATTCAGGTTTTGAAACCAATTCATTTAAGTGTGTTCTCACCCTGTTTGTGAAACCCTGCATTAAGATTCAGGTCCACGTGACTTCTGGAGTAGCCACCGCCCGTTGTATTTCATTACTGATTTTCAAGTTACTGACACTACCAAATGTTGGGGAAGGGATAAGTCTGCATGCTAATTCAAGGCATTGTGTTGAGAAAAAAGTATAAGTGCACAACACAATTGTATTGTCAAAGAAATTGCTGTGAACTCTTTAGTAATTTCTCGTGTTTTCTAAAGCAGCAGCATACTTACCTTTGGAGGGTTAAATATACTCTCTATCCTCTAGTTCTGAGGTGGGTTTCATTTTGCCAATCCAACAGGCTTTGGAGGAGCCACTCCTTTTGCAAATACAAGTTGATAGATGTGGCACAAAAGGAGGGAATTTGTCATAAACTTGCAGCAAGCATGACTCAGAGTTTGAGGACACGGGTAGATGTTTTGGAGCAAAAAATCCATGATCACCTTCAACGTATGTGCATTCGAGGTTCTAGAAAAATATTTTGCTTAACTGAGTAGTAGGGCGGTGCGAAGATTCGGGTGGTGATTCAATTTGGAGGAGATTCAGCCTAATTCGGTGGCCAAATCTGAATCAAATCAGGGGACCAATTTAAAGGTCCAAATCGATTCAAAGTTCTCCGAATCTTCGGAAAAAATTCGGAGAGTTTTGATAATTCGGGCAGTCCCCGGTGGCTGCAGCAGAGAGCTGCAGCCAACTCCAGGCTGGTAAGTACTGGGGTGGGGGAGGGAGGACTGGGGGAGGGGACCATGGGGAGACCCCATGAGCTCATGCTCATGTACAGCCTCCCACATGGTGTGAGGCAATGTGGGGCAGTGGGGATCGCCCCCCAGCTAGCAGAAGCAGTAAGTCCAGGGTTTTTTTTTCTTTTTTTATTCTTAAAGAACAGGAGCTCACCCAGGCGGGACACCTGTGGGGGAGCAAGGGAGGGGTCATGGGGCTCGTGCAGAGCCACCCATGCAACCTGCGGCAGTGGGCGGAAGCAGAGATCACCCCCTGCTCAGCAGCACCTGGTGAGCACCAGGAACAGTTTTTTTAACAAGTGCCAGGGGCTGGGGCATCCATTGCCAGACTGGGAGAGGGATGGGGAACGGGCCTGGCCTGGCTGATTCAGAGATTCGGCAGCAGTCGAATCTCCAAATCAGATTTGGCCAAATCAAATCGGGACAGTGATTCGAATCACCTAATAGAATCACTGTCCCCCGAATCGGCTGAATCTGAATCCAAAGAGAATACTAGCCACTTTGCACAGGCCTACTGAATAGACCTCTATAGTCACTACCTTTTCTACTGCAGAAACAGCCAATCAGATAAAGAACATAAATCCTGTTCAAGGACTCCAAAAGGTATCAGGGTAGTAGGATACACATTTTTTTTTTAGAACATCATCTTTTCCACTTATTGCAAACTGCCTCCTTTCTATCAGCTTTCATGACATTTTTGCATTTTGTAACATTCGGTGGCTATGCCTGACTGCACGCTGCTGTTTGTTTTTCAGTCAATGAAACAGATGAAATTGGACCTTTGAGTGACGTCAATATTACCAACCCTTCGACTTTCAGTTGGAGGCTTTCAAATCTGAGCTCCAGTACTAAATACAAATTCTATGTGAGTGCCTGTACTATGAAAGGCTGTGGCAAGCCAATCACAGAAGAAGGACTAACAATAACAGATGGGAGTAAGTTAATAGGCAGTGTATTTTGACACTGAAAAGTTTTGACTGTAATAGAAAAAAAAAATCTATTGAGATTTTCAGCTTTGAAATCTTTCTCTCTCATTTGAGGACTGAAATTGTTTGCTTTGCATTAGCGCTATCAATGAACTTTTAAACGCAGCAATTCAGTTCTTCAGTACATTTGATTTAGCTATTTCATGTTGCTCTTTGGCTTCGCCCACCAATGAGCTCAGTGGGTTTTATGAAAATTAGAATTTAGCAGTCATTAAAAGGACACTGGAGAACTACTAAAATATTAGTGTGCCAAATGCTGTCTTTTTTTAACAGTAATATTAATGGGAGCCATGTGTTGTCATTTGAGAACAGAATTTGTGAGTCCCACAAATCCATCAGCAGAAGGCTGATTCAAATGTTTTTGCTCTGAGTCGCGTTATTTTATCAAAAGCTACAAATGGCCAACAGTGAAGCCCATTCGTAAGCTATTTACCCTGTCTCCTAAACATTTTCATATTCAATGATTTATTGGACAATTAGAAGTAATGCAGCTGCTTTGCCTTATTGAGCTGGAATAAAATAAGCACACTACATTTAGCAAGTTTGAGCAGACAAGTATACCAGTGAACATGTTCCCCAAAATTATTCAATAATAATGGCCATGGAAATACCGCAGTGAAGGACAAGGACAATGTGATAAGCAGAAGTGGCCTAGCTTCATTCTTTTTAGCAGTGATAACATACTGTAACAATCTTGATACAAAATGGACCTTGCCACTTATATAATCTGGGAGTCAACTAAAATATTAATTCCTTTGGTCATTGAGGCTACAGCATAGGACCCACTAAAAATGTTCTGCATTCTGAGTTTAGGATGTATTGTCAAATTGGGCTGACAACCAGTGAAATAGGGACTGCATCTCTTTCCCTTTTCCTCTGCAAGATTGCAGGGGTCCTTACAAACATGTACTCCAGCTGAAGCGCTTACAAAGTACACCAAACAGGTACGTGGCTGCACGTGACGCCTGATGGTTACTTTTTGAATCCATGTAGAGTTCTACAAAAAAAAATGTCCTGTTTTCTCTCTTCTTAACTGGGACTGCAGAAAAATCTCCTGTCATATTTGCAGTATGGAAGAAATTGCATCCAGGAATGTGCATGAGCACATCTGGGGTCAAGGTTTTGTGTTGAACTGATTCCATACACATCTCAAAAAGATACTTCCCTAATTCCAGGGCAAATCATGATGCTCTTTTGCAGTTCATGTGGATTTCCCACTCTTCAATAGTGCTTGAATAGTTTTCCCCACGTCCCTCATCTCAGTACCTGTTAGATAAAGTTTTCTGTCAATCCTTATTTCATATAGGCAAGCAGAGTGTTGGCTGATCTACTCTGACACATCCTTTTCCTCCGGTAACAGGCCTCTGGTTCCATTACCACAGTGTCTTAAGTAGTGCCTTTTCATTGATCCCAGTCAAGATCATCCAAGCACCCAATATATCCTCCACACATACCCATTGTGTGCTATGCAGAAGCTGATGCTATCATAATAAATTCTCTCTCCTCTGCCCAGCATCCTCTCTGTTCCTCCTGTTGTTATCAATATCCTAGTCTTCAACAACATAATAAAAAACCCATTTTTTTATAAGAAAAATGCAATGCTACTTTCTCAGATATTATTACTTTGTGAGGTCAGGAGTTCTACATGTGGTCATTTAAAAAGCTGCTTGTAATTTGAACAACCTTGCTTAGCCCATTTAATTTTTAGAAGAATCTCTGATGCTAACTGGGGTCTGCCAGGCTCCAGAATGGGCTCGCAAGGGAGGTGGTGCTCTCCCCTACCTTGGGGGTCTTCAAGAGGATGTGGGATAGATATCTGGCTGGGGTATTATGATCCCAGCACTCGTTCCTGCCCAGGGCAGGGGGTCAGACTTGATGATCTGTTCAGGTCCCTTCCGACCCTAGAAACTATGACTCTCTCCCCAGAACGCGTAGCTTAAAACTAGGGCAAATAGAACAGCTGACATTCTTCTTCCCTTTATTTCCCTTCTTTTCTTTCAAAAGATTTTGTTTCAACAATGGCAGCAAGAGATTCTAGTGGAAGGAAGAGTGATGGATTGCATGTTGAATACAATAGTGTAATTTGTGCTCGCTGCAAGGGTCCTGTTGCTTTTGTGCCCCATACCACAGACTTTTCAAGCGACTCAAACAAGAGCCACCTGACTGTGTCCCACTTCACTCTCTGATGTAGCCCTCCAGCTCCCATTGAAATCCCAGTGAGGTTCTGCATAATTTTCACAGGGCTAAATTGGTCCAGGTTCATTTAAATTGCACCAGATCTGTGTCCTATGGCTGACAGAATCACACACATCTCAGTGACTTTCTCACATTTTAAGCTGCTGCCTGGTGGGCGCTAAAAATTAAACTTAATATTGCCTCTTAAAAAATGGAATGTGTTTTAAAAGTCAAGTCATATTATTCAAAGTTCCCCAGGTAAGTGTCAGATCTATAGTGCAGTCCTACTGTGGAATGAAACCCCATTAAAATAGCACTGTAGGCTTTTAATGGTTATTGTGTCTCAGTGATTTTCCATATCCAATGAATATCTATAAGCAAGGAGGAAAAAAAAGCTCTTCCTGTCTATCCAACTTACAGATAGAGATAGATACACCTCCTGCAGTATATTCAGTTTTCATGGACCGGATTCTGGATTTTGCACGTTGCTTTGTCCCCAAGAAGTGCAGACATCTGTCAGGTTTAGACGCTGATAGAGTCCTGTTTGTCCCCTGCTATTTGACCTGTCTAATGACTTTAAATTAAATACTTGTTTGCTTATGCAGTCTGGATCTAAGAAGAAAGGAAGGCTCTTTTCTTGACGTTGATCTCCATCCAGAATAAAAGTGCAGCAGGAAAAACTATGCCTGAGTGATACTTTACAAACCCCTTATCACCATATTTTTTGGCGTATAATATGCTCCCCCCTCCCCACACTGCGCAGGGCATGGAAACAGCCCTGCAGGCCTCACCAATGCACCCAAGCCTGCCTGAACCAGAGTACTAGTGACCACCCACTAGGATTACTGCAAGCACTAACTAGTGAAGCACTTATACCAGTTAATCATGGCCCTGCCACCCAGGACACACAGGCTTTTTTTACATTCAGAGCACTAACTAGAGCTAAAAAGAGACTCCCTTAGCAAGACTAGCCTATCTTCTGTGAGACACCAAAGTACAGCTAACAATCCAAAGTCAGAGTGGATGGTCTAGAAAGCCAGCTACAGTGGGTAAGCCATTAATTCTCACCTAATGGATTCTAAACGCCAACTACCTCTTAAAATCGCTACAACTCAGCATGAAATGCCTCCTGGACTACAAAAGCCCAGAAGGTGCAGGGTAATTATGATGCATATTTATAAGCTTTTAATAGCCAGTCAGTGGAGGAAAACTGATGAAAGTTTAACTTTCCATTTATTTCAAGCAGATGTATTGAGACCGGTACAGCAATAAATTAAAACATTATCTGCAATTTTTAATTCAGCTGCATGATTGCCAACTTTTTTTTTTTTTTGGATGCGTTTCATAACAGATGTGCTAATTTTGGGTGAACTAGTAAAGACTGGTAGTAAATCCATGAAGGAGGTTTATCTTGTTCCTTCATAGTGTAGCTTCAGTAAAATAATAATAAAAAGCAAGTTCCACTGTTCTCGTACATCTCGAAGCCCACTAAGCATATTGTCAAATTGCAGCTCAGTGTTTAATGTTCATGTGAATCCCATGATATGACTGACGAATAGTAGGGGGGAAATGAGAAATGCTGGTGATATGTTTTCATTACTAATGCTGCTTCTCTCCTGTGGTACATTAAAAAACTAACCTACCTGCTTTCAGTTTTCTGAAGCTAATTTCTGCTGCTCACTGACCTTTCAATAATGAGTAAACACTTTGTTTTCAGTATATCTCTGTCTTTTTTTATTTTTCAGGACTCTACACTCCTTTTTCTATTCCACCTATCAACTTTTCCTCAGTTACCAATTATTTTTCCTCTATAGGTATTATATTTGGGTGAATAATACAGACTACTTTTACATGGGATGACACCGCACAGGCAGACACTCCTGGGCTCACATGTTGAATTTTAGGATACGGAGAATTATTTACAGAGAACTGGGATACCAATTTTGGTTCCAGGCTACTCAGGCTGTCTATCCCTGCTGTAGCAAAGCTCTAACGCATGCATTCAAAGTAATATCTATTCGTGATCTCATTGCAATCAGTTATTTCTACAGTTGAGCACATGCTTAAATGCTTTGCTGGCTTGGAACAGTGAATAAATCTACAAGATCAGACCTAGGTTGTATACAAATTGCAATATATGATTGCCTTGTCTGGCTGACATGTTTTAAGTGTTATATGGCATTTAATGAGCAATGGGATTAAAGTTCATATAGCAGAACATTACTTCTGGTTCCTTTATGGATAGCATTTTCATTACATTCATTGTTCTGGTGTCTCTGTTTTAGAAAATGTAATTAAAATTTACCTGTAAGTCCTGTTGCTTAATCTGCAGTTTGATTAAAAATTATTGCTTAGCCTCACGTAGTTCATTTAGCAAAACCTACCAGTAGATGGAATAATTTATGCTAATGCACCATGTTTCAACATCAGCATTATTCCAGTTCAGCATGTTCTCTCTGGTTCTCGGTGGCCTACTAATTTAACTGTTTATTGTAATATTTATATAGTTGAATTGAAAAACTTACTATGTACTGTTCCTTTGACTAGGTCTATGCTGTTCTTAATCTTTTTCTTTCTTTTCCTTCAGGTACCAACCAATTTCTAATCTCTCAAAGTTTTCTTGCTTACTGTGTTTACTAGTTTTGGTACTAATGGCCATTGTTTTACTGTCTGTGCAAATCGGTCCGGCAGTTTTGAAGCTATGCTGTGTGGAAATAACCATGCCGTGCTTTCCTTCAGATTACTTTAGAACTGCAATCAGATACATTATGCAAATTAAGCAACTGAACAGAATTAAGATAGCATGTGTATTAGTATTTTTTCCCCCAAATCTAGGGAATGGTAGCAGGTTACGATCCTAATGTTAGATATGGGCACTGTTAAATAAAGTCCTGATACAAAGCACATTGCCATCAGTGAGACACCGCTATTGAGCTGAATGGGTTTTAGATCACACTCTAAATGTGGATGCTGTTCTATCATTCTTGTATCATTTCTATTACATTTATTATTTAAAAAACCCAAAACAAGAGAACAGCTATGAAGTGTTAACGTAGTGTATGCTATATGTTAGGCTAGTTTATACTTTATATAATGTGGAGCAATTCTTGCTGCACTTCTTGAATACTCCCATTGGCACAGAGAAGTAAAGTAACTTGGCAGAATACAGAACAGAGCCAGGATTTTCTGACTCCCAGAGATGGATCTTTATCTAGAAATGGATGCTGCTGCCTTTACATAGGCATGCTCCTATAAGGCCCTTCATATTGTGAATAACTTTCTTCCTAAATGTATACATTTCGTTTTGGAGTTAACATGAAATATTATTTTATCAGAATATTTTTTTATTAATAATGGAATATTATTTAAAAGAAAAGGTACGCAATGCTACCTTTCAGTTCCAAATTTAGGCAAAATATCTAACGGGCCAATGGAAGTTTTGAGATCAAGACTGGACTTACTAGAAAACCAAATTTAAATAAATACTTGATTATGATTCCAAATACTTTTCATATAAAGATCATTTAGAATATGCAAAGATTACATATGAAAGTCATCTTAAAAAACCCTTTAATTATGTCTAAAACAGTGCTCCACTTGTAGGTGCTTTAAAATACTTGTGGAAAAAGGAAAGTGAGGAGCTTCTTTCTAGGGAAAAATTAGTATACTTCCCAATGTAAATTATTCCTGTAAGAGAGGTACTTCTCTTTTTCTGGATAACTGTGTATTTAATCCTGACCCAATGAGTTCAATTTAACGAGAAAAGGATCAGAGCCACAGATTATCTAACCAAAGCAAAGCCACTTTCAATTTGTAATTTTTAAGGCAGGTATTAATTAAAGCAAATCTATAATCCTGCATGTCATTTCATCAATATCTCCTTTCATCCTGGAAATTGTAGAAAATCCTCCCTAAATATCAGGATTATTTCAGTTTGCAGTTGACTTTAACTTGTGAAATATTAAAACAAGCAGAGAAACTGTTTTTCTACTTTATTTTATAGTCTCTCCAAAATATATATCCCAGCGAGACGTTAAATATATTCATGTATGCGTGTTGTATAGATCATTTTGTGACTGTGCATTTTGGAGTCTGACTGTTCAATGAATAACTCATTAATATGAGCTATGTACATTTCATAGGTAAAGGGATCGGGAAGATTTCAGGAGCAGTAAATCCCACCCAAAAGTTTCACCCCATTGAGGCACTTGAGCCTGGAACTGAATATACAGTTCGTCTAGTGACTAAGAATTGGGTTGATAACAATAGCATTTTTGAAGATGTAATTGAGACGAGGGGGAGAGGTGAGAAATGAAACCCTTTAAGGTGATAAATCAAAATTTCTTTTTAAATTTAAATAAATATTAGTTTTACATATTATGGTCTACAATGAAATATAATATTGAAATAATGGAGCCTGAGCTTGTATCCAATGAAATCAAAGAGATTCTTACCATTGATTTCATTAGTTTTCTGTTCAGCCTCCAATGTTACTGTCTAAAGTAGCAAAGTGGAATCATTACAAAACTTTCCAATACCTACTATTTACAGGTTTTAGCTCATATGCCATTTTAAATGGGTAGGTGCTGTTCCTTCTCCATGAATGCAGCTAGCTGAGCAGTTTGCATGTATCCTAAAACACTTTTAACTCTGTCTTTGCAAAACTGCTTTGTGCATGAGAGGCTTAGCAATGTTCTGTGCACCTTTCCTATTTCAGTATTAATCCTCTGAATCAAGCACTCCTTTGGAAATGCCTTTCCAAAAAACATGTATTGTGTGACACAGATATTTCATTTGCCTTATACGTAAATAGTGTTCTTTGGACATTTTATTGCTGTCCTTTATATCTTAAAATTAAAAATGCTAGCTTGATATCAGTAACAAGAGTTTGATCATTCCAGATCAGTAAAGAAAATGTTAAACATTCTTTTTGCGGTAGGTTACTCTGTTTTCCCCTACTTAAATATTTTTGTTTGTTTTCTTCTACAAAGCTTATGCTGGCATATATGAGGGAATTTCTACACAAGGCTGGTTTATTGGACTGATGTGTGCCATTGCTTTGCTTACCTTATTGCTGCTAACTGTTTGCTTTGTCAAAAGGAATAAAGGAGGAAAATACTCAGGTAAGTACAGCTATTGTCCTTTTTTGTGACATATATTTGATAACAGCAGGCATCTTCAGACACATAGCTACTTAGTTGAACGGAAGAGTCTAAAAATTCACCCTTCAGTCTCTGAAGACTGAACATTTACAACCTGAAAAATACAGTTTGGATTTGTCTGGTTTAATTAAAAGAAAAAATAAGTTGATTTGAATAAATACAAGAAAACCTATACCTGGTGCCTGACATTCTGTGCGGTGTATGTGGCTTTGCTGCCTTGGCACTCCAGTACCTCCAGTGTTATTAGACTTGTCCTCATGGAAATCCTAAATTTACAAGCAACTCATGACCAGTGTATATGCATTTGTTCTTGTGCCAAGATTTTGGCTTAAGTAATCCCTTCTCTTCATTGTTTCCTCCTCTCGCCTCTTCCCAAATGTATTTATAGAGAGAAGTGATATCAGTGATGCCCAATAGGCTTCATTTTGTGAGACTAAACAAGCCAAGCCATTTTAATATCCTCCTGTAAGATAAGCTGTCCATGGTCACTCAGTCTGCCAACTCCTGTCCCTACCTGGA